TTGAGATAGTTGAAGAGCTGAGAAATGCGGACAAGCCTTTGGTGCCAAGGAGTGGCTTAGGAGATTCTGTAGCTATTAGTCAGGAAAATCCTTCCAAGGCTAAAAGAGTAATCCAATGTAATCCGTTTCTTGCCCCACCTCTGCACTTCGGGGAGAAGGAAGTGTCTCAAGTTTCTGTTCCTGTTAGACTTTCCGATGAGGCCTCAGTTCAGCCTCAAAATCATGCAGCAATGGAGAACCAAGCTTGTATGTTAGAGACATTTGCACCAGCCAATGAAGCAGTCAAGACTGCACCAGTGGACCTTGAAGATGGCGGGAATAAGATTCTATTAAACACCAAATCCCCTGTACAATTTAGATTGAGAAGGAGCGGAAAACCATTAGGTAAGGCAGTTGGTCTTCTGGATAAGGACCATGAGGACTTTGCATCTCCTCTTTGTGCTGAAAATGGAAAAGATGATAAGAAGAGGAGGGCGGAGCAGATTCTTAAAGAATCTGAATCCGATATGCAGGATTTGCCTCACTTGTAAATTAGGAATCATTACTTAGAACTTGTATACTAGTTTAGCAAACTGGTGGCAGTTGCTGGTTCCTAGATTATCAAAGTTAGGGGCCTAGAATTGTCTGTGCATGGATCATACAGACTGCTAGAGTGGTAATTTTCACACTTTTTTGAGGTATGTAGTGTCAGTAATATTTTGCACTTTTGTAGCACTATTGAAGTTTTCATTTTTCTTTTCTGGTGTGGTCTTGTTGCCGTTCAACAGTCTATTGTGTGTTAAATGGCCATTAAATCACCCCCCCCCCCTGCCTCACTTCTGGTGCACTATATTTTTTTTCCCTTGCTGTGTCCTCCTTGGGAAAAAAATTTTCCACTTACAGTTTGCAATACAAATCTGGATCTCCAAACTAAAAGAAAAAAATGAAATACTCAGATGGGAGAGGAAAAATAAAATATAATAGAAAGGCTTGCTTATTTCAAAATTTCTGCAGCATTTTAGGCGTGTTCTTCGGAAACAGCCTCTCTAGGGGTAAGGTCTGCGTACGCTTTACCCTCCCCAGACCCCACTTGTGGGATTTCACTGGGTTTGTCAGATGGGAGAGGAAAAAGAAAATATAATAGAAAGGCTTGCTTATTTCAAAATTTCTGCAGCATTTTAGGCGTGTTTCCGCTCTACCTTCATTAGGTAGGGGTAAGGTCTGCGTACACTTTACCCTCCCCAACCGCACTTGTGGGATTTCACTGGGCTTGTTGTTGTTGTTGTTGTATTTTAGGCGTGTTCTTCCTTTTTTGGGGAATTGCAGGCTGTTGCATATAGTAAGAGAAATTGTGTAATTGGCGTTGATCCCTGATTGTGTACAGCTATCTAGAAGACCAAATAAGTTTGAACTTTGTGAATTATGTTGCCAGTGGGCAATTAAAAGTCTTGGAATATAATATCATCTTTATTCCTCTGGCTATTCTGATTTGTAGGTTTTATTGCATAGTTTGATGCTGGTGTTTCACTTGATGTACATGTTATGTGCAGATCAAAGTACTTCTTTCTTCCCTCCCTTCTGTCAATGAGCTGTAACAGTGACTACAGTACACTTATAAACAAGACAACATTATGTAAGCAACAATTAAACGTGATAAACTTTTCGGACATAGTACTTGCTATTGTTGTTTAACATTGCACACTTGTTGTACAAGTTTAAATTAATACAATATGTGTGCAATGTTAAACAAGAATATGTTAAACACTGATAGGTGTCATGGAATCCTTGTAAGAAGAACAAGGATGTAATTGCTCTCCTTAGTAGAATTGGATTTCAGCGCAAGCTTTGTGCTGTTTATATGTAATATTTGTTACCATTCTCAAAAAAAGCATATTATATTAGTTAAACAGATGTTTACTCTCTTTCACTCAATAGGTGCCAAGCACTTGTCTTTGAGTAGGCTCTTTTAAATTATTTGGCAATTGTGTAAAGTTTTTGGTTTAAATTAAGGATTTGATACCTCTAATATAAGACTTTGTAAGTGAGATATGAAGTTGAAACTTTTGCTTTGTATGATGAGAAGCATTATGCATGTGGCTTACTGCTTACATGGCACCTCTGCCTTTTCTCACGTTACCTTATTCCCTTTATGCTTTGGTGGATTGTCATAAACCATCTGTCTTCTCTCGTGCGTGCAATAATGTCTGCGAAGTTTTGTTGGCCACTCACAGTTATTTCTATGTAAAGAGAGGATGGAGAGAGAGAGATGATGTATTGCAACTGTATACAAGTCTCGATTGCTCATTCGTGTTATAAGATCGGTTATGCATCTAATGTCACTGAGCCATCTTGGTTTGAAGTCCACTATACCGTATGGCCTACTTTATGTTTTTGCCTTTGACCCAACAAATGATGTCTTTGTGTTTAGTTGTTTACTATTGCCAGTAATGCCTATAGTTTTATTTTTTCTGTCGTCTGAAATTTCTTCCACATTTCTGTCCCCTTGATTGGCATCTTTTGTACACAAAGTTAGGGATTGTAGGTTGCAAATGACCTGGGGATGAGGTTTTCCTCTCTGTTTAACGTCGTATGTTGACTGTTGAACTGCAGAGGTAGGTAGATCAAGCACCTTTAGGACTTGGAAAAGAAAAGGTTATCCTCCACATAAAAGACCTGACCTATTTAACCTTTTCTGGTTCTGGCTATTTATTCAAGGAACACTGTTTTCTAGAGATGTTGATGGGAATAGCACACTCATTATTGAGACCTCACTCATAGTCGGACTCAGCTGTTTATTGTGGTGCTAATCGAACGTGTTTGTTTTCTTAAATGTAAGACCTGTCTGTGTTTGCTGGCCTCTCTCCATTGACTTGCTGGCTTTTCCGGCTGATTGTATCCTGGTTAAAATTTTGAAGACCTTCTACTTAGAGGTGTGTTTATCTATTTTGGAACTCTCAAATGTGGGGACTTACCAAAGCATGAATGATTTGTATCTCATGTTTAGCTTCCCAGCGCATGTGCCTGCTTGGTTGGTTACCCATGTACTAAGAGAGCTACTCAAATTTGAATTCAGCAGAGAAGAAAGACAGCGATAGTAGAAACAGTAAGAGACCTAATTGACCCTTTCTGGTTCTGGTTATATATCCAAGGGCCAACTTTTTCTCGGAGACTTTGATGGGGATGCCACATTCCTTATAGAGGCCTCACTGATAATCGGATTCAGCTATCTTTTCTGGTGCTGATTGAACTTGTTTTCTTAAATGTGAAACCTTTCTGTGTTGGCTGGCCTCTCTCCACTTGCCAGTTTTCTCCTGCTGATTGGTTTCCTAGTTCAGGATTTTACAACAACAACATGCCCAGTATAATCCCACAAGTAGGGTCTTGAGGGGTTAGTGCGTACGCAGCCTTATCCCTACCTTCGCAAGCAAAGTTCCTAGTTCAAAATTTTGTGCTTATAAAATGTGAAATCCTTCTGCTTTGAGTTTCATTTATCTATTTTGAAACTCTCAAATGATGGGGGCCTGTCTCAAACTGTCCCAAGAGTTGCTAGTATTTTACTTAGGGTTATATGCTTCAAATTCTGGAGATTGTAGATGATACACTGGCAAGCATTTGAAATAATCCATATAACATCTTTTGGATCTATATTTTCAAGAAAAAAATGATTGTTTTCGTGGGAGATTAAAGCTGTCATGCATCAAGATATGTTAGCACTAAAAGGTAACTTCAACAAGAGGCCCAGCGAGTTTGGGCTAACTCTATGACGTCAGCGCGTGATTCTGCTCGAGAGTGTGAGTGGGAATAACTGTGTCCAAGTGTTCCTAGAATTTTATTTTGCGGTATGTTTCAAATCCTTTAGCTTTTCGGTGAAACATAGTCAAGCATTTGAAATAAATCCAAAATAACGGCTCTTGGGTTTATATTTTGAAATCCAACACAAGTATATCCCAACGGGTACAAAAATTGGGATTGTGTATTTGAAATTACTATAGAGCCAACTTCCTCCATCTCAGCATGCCCTTAATTTTTTTTTTTTTTGATAGCTGTAGTGTACCTCGATTAATTCCACGGGGTACTTGCTACTAAACATGCCCTTACATTATTGGACAGTTTTAGAGATGTTGGGATCCTTACTCAAGCTAATTTACGTATTATGTTTCTGCATCCTTACTCAAGCTTGAATTATTATGTTTTTGCATATGCTAAATCTGAGCCAGTGTGAAGTAGCGCTACTCATCCAAAATCATGGCGGATGTTCTGTTGTTTTCTTTTACCCTAAGTTGCTCGGACTCTTCAGTTTCGATGCTGCACCCGTGTCGGCATGACGTGGGTGTGGGTGTGAGATCCGTACCCGATCTGCTCAACCAATTTTTGGTACTTTGACCAAAATCGACGGAGAAATTCATGACAGATACAATTATTTCTCAAACAGAACAAAAGCTAGGGTGAAATTGAAGAAAATACAATACCTTGTATATAGAAATTTCTATGCCAGTCCTTTTGCTTTTATCTCCTTATCAAATTCTCCTCTTGATCAAATATTCTCTTTCTCGGAATACCTTGTAAATTTTCCACATAATATCTCACAATTTAGAAATTTTTTGAACTCTTTTTTAGATATTTGAATTATCTTTAGCCGAATTGCCGCATCCGTATCTGTATCTGGATCCATGCCCCGGAATCTTTATAGTTAGATCATGAAGGATTTGACATCTAGATCCGCAACCATATCCGACACACCTAAGTCCGAGCAACTTAGCTTTTACCTAACTGAATTAATTGATTAATATTTTGATTGGTTACTTTTGAAAAGTTAAAAGGGATAATCGGACTGTGAAAGGGAAAAACCAGGTCTGAACCGAACACTGTTAGGATGTCTGTAACCCCAGTATAGTATCCTTTACATTCAATACAGTTCATGCCTCAAATATTTCCTCGTACATAACCTGATAAGGATGCACATGATCTTATGAAGAGTAAGAAAAAAAGCACGGAAGCTTGAGAATTTACTTAGTATATAGTTATCTACAATGCTGTCTTGGTGTTTTATGCTGTTCGGTAGTCTCATCACTAATGATTTCTCTAATCAGGTCTTTAAATATTAAGCGCTCAACATCCAATACCAACAGTGGGATCTCATTGTGATGATTTGTCCAATCTTCTGATTGATGCATCATATCTTTATTTAGAATGCTGATCAATTCATCATCTTTAGAATCCATGCTAACGTCTCTTTTAGAATTGAAATGGTCTATCTCCGACTTCAGTTCTTTCAGAAGCTGCGTCGCATTCCAACACTTATTCTGCATTATATTGTTATCTGAACCTAGTTTGCGGACAAGAATCTCATTGACGGTGTCAAATGTGATCTTCCTTCTTGTCTTATGATCAAATTTTATCTGAGCAATCTCTTCACTGTGTTTTTCAGTTGCTAGCAAACTGCTTTCCTCAGTCTGCTCTACGATGTCGAACAATTTTGGGTTGATCAAATGGCTGGGTGAGTGAAGCTGAATGGTTGTGGACATGGAGGCCACATCTTTTAGAAGGCCAGATGCCAGTAGTATCTTGGTAATGTATCTGTGGTCTGGATTGTGGTTCTGGCATAAGGATGCAAGTTGATCCATGTTTGCTTCGTGGATGGTGGAGTTTGGTGTTCTGAGCTCATGAACCAAGTCATCCTTGCTTTCTAATATCTTATGGTTGGACTCGATGTCAAGGTCAAGTCTGGTCCTGTAAGGTGAATGATCTAGGTCATCTGGACACCAAACATCAGGACCTGCAAACCCATCATCTGTTAAGGTGGAAATGGACAGAGAAGATTATTAGTAGTCAAGTCATGCTTCAACACCAAATTCAATTCTAGCTAAACACTTTCTGCAGGTGACGTTCTTCCATCTGTTTATTTTCTTAATAATAATAAATATTTCTTGCCCTGTTTTCTTTTAAATTTTCTGATAATATGAATAAGGGAATCTAAACATGTTCAAGTGTAATCATAGGGACTTTTTCTCGTCCAAGTTATGTGCCTCAGTCACATAAGTGGCCTCCAATTTGTGGTTAAGATTATTAGTATTCTATGTGGTATTGATTATCTCTTGGCATGTGAACATATGCATAACTCTTTTAGGTGCTATTTTCTAAGTTTAGTTTAATAAGCCCTAATAAAATGATGACGGTCACCAAGAATTACATAATGATGTTCTTTCAAGTAAAGGTGGAGCCGAGACATGCAGTTTAGAGAAAGAAATAGAACGAAACAAGCCTTACTTTCCAGAGTGCAGTATCCAAGTTGTCATCTTTGAACTAAGCCATTTTCTTATAATTTCCTTTTCCTTTTGTTTCAAGTGATGTATTGAACTCTGCTATTGTGCTTTATGTTCCTCCATATAGTGCTTTTTCCTGGACACTATGATTATCTCTAGTTTGCATCTAAAACAGATGATTTAGAGAAATAGAATAATACCTCTAAAAGCAGTCACAATATTCTTCTTGACTGAAGATGGTGAATCTTCAACATAGAATATAGCATTAAGCACTGAGACAGGACTTAGTTGTTCAACTGTTGCTATTGCAAGTTCATTTGTTGGTGTGTCTTCAGTAAGCCTCAATGTGTCACCCTGGACCGTGTCAAAGTCAACGACAGTAAGTGTTCATACATAGAAAAACAGATGTAAAAATGGGAAGTTGCTTACTCTTTCTTTATTGTCCTCTTGCCTCTTAGCATCAATCTGGAAGGAACAATTTGTGCTTTCCAAACTGTTGTTGATTTCCGATAGAACAGAAACTGCACGAGCATGCTCACTTAATTTTTTTTTGTAACTGCTGATTTCAGTTAGATCATCAGTTTGTTGCATATTGCTAGGTTTTGCTTTCTGATTCCTTTTTGAAGACCCCGGTTCCTTAATTTGCTTAATTGATTGCCTTTTAACCTTGCTGGTTTCTGATGATTGAATGGTCTGACAAGCTTGTTTGTCCATGCACTGTTGCTTCTGCTGTAGTTTTGGACTTAAAGTTCCATAATTCTTTCCTAGTACAGGACTGGAAGTTCCTTTCCTTTGTTGACAAGAGGTTGTTTGCACTGCCTTTAATGTTCTTCCTTTAGCCTTCTTATCTGGGGAAGGAAGATAACGGCCAGAGCACGTGACATTGTACGTTCCAGGTGTCATACCTTTGGATGTTTGCTTGTCAACTGTGCCATCTTTGTTATGTGCAAGCCCTTGAGTGTAAACTTCTTGAAATTTGGAGACATTTGCAGTTGGGGCAGCGGAACTTGCGAGTCTGATTTTATCCTTTTGTTTGGCTGGTTTTGGTGTCAAATTTGATGATTCTGATCTTTTTGAGGGGTTGGTCACCTTTTTAGTCAGTGATGGCGGGCTACGTTGCTTCCTCTGCTGCACTGGCTGCAACTCAGCATCAGATACCTGCGGAGCTCTTTGGCCTTCTAACCTTTCTCTTGTCTTCTGCATTGCTTGAAGTGTCTGTTTCAGAGTGCTGAGATCAGTCCCAGCCCTTCTGAACTCTAGTTCTATTGTCCTTTTCTCAATTTCGCAATAAGCAGAGGAAGAAAGGTGTGGACTCTGTGGTGAAGCTTCCATGCCCTTGTATCTGACAGATTTTTGGGAGGCTCGACTGGCCTCTTGTTGCCTCCAGCGAGCAGATTCTTGTGGAAGCCCTGAAGATGAGGCAGGTCTCATGATTGAGTTGGTGGATTTCATCCGTGGAGAGGCAAAATTCCATTCCAAAATCCGTGGTGACATGGTAACTTGATTTGTCTTGCTCTTTCGAGCTGATCTTGTTGATATAAAAATAGAATCTTTAGCCGGGGAAGTGTTAGGTGTCACAATCTCAGTATCCGTTGAGGGAACGGGATTTGGAAAAGGTTCCAACCCCATTAGCTTTGCTACAACGCTGGAAGATCGATTATGACATTGCAGTTCTTGATCCCCTAAAAGAGAATTTGATATGGATTCAAAGACTGATCTCCTCAAGGATTGTTGTCTACTGTCCAATGACAATCTAGGAAGATCTTTTAGCTTCATCATAGACTGCATTGTTTCTGTTGATTCTCTTCCGTCACATGAGAAACGAGGACGATCCTTTGGTGCACGCTGTAAGAAACCAACTTTATCTTCCCCTGCATTCCAATGTGCTTCACAAAGCTTTGCAGGACCGCGTGCTGTTACACTGGATGCCTTCCCATAATTCGAGTGCTGAAGAGGCCTCGGAGAATCTATGTGCTTAATCACGTGGACTCTACCTTCTACTTTAGCGACAGTTTTTACAGATAAATTGCAGGCGTCCCTGTACATCGAGTCCTTAACTACATCGCGGAGATCAGGAGAGTGTCGACCTGAATGAGAAGAACTTGATTGCTTGGCTAGTAGGACTTGTGAAGGAGATCCTGATAAGTTACTTTGAGTACGAGAAAGTGGCGCTTGTTGTACTTTTTTGTTGTCTTGCAGTGTTGAAGAAGTAGATGGACTTAAAAAAGAGCAGGAGGCTTTCGATGTTTCGTTCGAGGGCAACTCTCTTGCTGTGATCGCTTCCTGCAGTTTCCGATCACATCATTAAGTCTTTATAGGTTGATTTAGAGATGCTTGGATAAATGATTAGTTCAAAGTCTTACTATTTCAATTTCTGTTGCATATTTGGCTGCCATATCGTTCATCGCACCTTCAAGATAGAATAACCAACAGTGAGATCCTCTTCATGTAATGCAGAAAAGATTCAACTTTTGACACTATCAGTTTATTTTGACATGTTACATACCTTACTGTTTAGTGTTGGGTTTACTGTACAGAGTTACTTGTTGTAAGTCATTTTAGTCTGATGTTGTAATAGAGTTATATATTGTCGGTGCACAGAAGTTGAACTCTATTCAAGTAAAGGGTCTAGTTAATTTGAGTGAATTTCATGAAGACGTACTGCGTGAAAATAAGTTGAACCGCAGGTATTAAAATGATACCACAGGGTGCAAACCCAATAGAGAGAAAAACTGCACGAGAGGGCCACGAGAGAAGGAATAGCTTTGAGTTCTATGTACTAAGGGGTCGTTTGGTTGGAATACGGATTATGCCGGTATAAGTTATGCTGGGATTGTTGTTTATTCACTGTTTGATATGTTGTATTAAGAATGACAATTGCATAATTTCTAAGAAGAAAGTATAAGTTATACTGGTGCTGATTACCCCACCCTCTATTTAACATCGGGATAACTTATACCTGGTTTGCTAACCAAACATAATATTAAGGTCGTATTAAATTTTTATACCATCCCTATACCCAGAGGCGGAGCTAGGATTTAAACCTTATGGATTCAAAATTGTAATCATTTTAAGTTAGTGGGTTCTAAATTAATAAGTTGTACATATTCAATGGATTTCTTAAGACAAATACATGGTTTGAACAAAAACTACTGGGTTCGGCCGAATCCGCATCCTGCACTCTACCTCCGCCCCTGCCTATACCTTCTTATACCTCGTACCAAACGACTTCTAACAGTATAAAAAATATTTATAACCGTTCAAAAATTATAAGGTAACTATTTATATTAAAAATAATAATTTGTAAGCTTATAAAAGTGAAAACTAACATGTTATAATAGAATATGCTAGCGTAGAAAGATATTTACACTGCCATGTATATAACTTAAATCTTTTGCTTTTTACGAAGCTACGTATAACTGTACTCGACGAATTTTCAGAAATATGTACCTATATTACTTGCTTGCCAGGAAAATTATTAGTCGTGTAATTTGCACTCATTGACTTAAAATTAGATAAAATATTAATAATTTTAGAGGGGGATGCAGCCTTATAATACCGGATTCATCCGAATTCAATACTTTCGATAGTAAAATTCATTAAAATTATAGTAATAAATAATAGTTCTGCACCCATAATTTAAAAATATAATAAGTGTTATGAATAGAATTCTATTTAGAGTGAATGTCTATCTTGCAGAGAGTTTTACTTTGTGGCTAAGTCATTTTTCCCCTATAAATAGAGGGGTATTACCCCATTGTAAATCATCCCAAAATTCAATAAGAATTCTCTCTCTTTCTCTGCAATATTGTTCTTCTACTTTTATTGTTTTATTACACGTTATCAGCACGAACTCTAATCAACTGAGTTCCACCCGTCTACAAATATGTCCTACTTAAGAAAAGCTGATGAAAGAAAATTTCTAAATGGATCCAATTGGCACTGTTGAGAGTATAGCAGAGATTAGTACGTTTTCTTTAGAGCTATCAATATACTGGAGTGATTTCAAAAGAATTTGTCATACATACGTTTCTTTATGGGCAAAACCCATAATACATTAATTAGTGGCTTATTTAATACTCAAGTTATAATTTGAGTATTAAGGAATAATAAGTTACAGAAACTTAATAAGATAAATAATAGTTCAACTGTAAAAGTCAATTTTCTTATATCAATATCCTTTACATTATAACTTTGGCATACACTAATTGCATTGATTATTTGGGAAGCAAATATGGATATCTAACATCGCAAACTTGGATCAAAGTTCAATTGTAAAAATATCTGTTTAATTGATTCATGTACGACACATACAATATTCAAAGAGAAGAAATATTTCTCTCATTTAAATATGTGTAAGGCAGAGGTTGCTATAATTTCTGGTAGTAGTAAATTAATTGAAGGCTCTGGAAGAGCTACTATAATAACACCCAATTGCCAACTGCACAGACTCAGCTTTCTGGGGGCAAATTAGCACCGCCCACTGTGTTTTCACACTGCCACAACAATTACTCAACACACACACTCTAGAAACCCTTCACCTCAAAAGATCTTGTTTTATCGATTTTTTCAGGTAAATTTTCAATTTATTTCTGGGTTTTATTCATATTTGTTTTTTTCAGGTAAAGTTTTAGGTTTAATCTGTGGGTTTTATGCATATTTTGTATTTATTAGGCTTAATTTATCGATTTGGGTATCATTATGCTGAACTAGATCTGCCGTTTTGTTTAGATTTTCCGTTCTTCATATTTGTCTCTTAAAGTACAGATTTGAAAACTTTGACCACCTGATTGCTTTGAATCTGAAATGATTGAGCCGTTCAAGACTAGTGCTTATTGTTATTGTTAGTCTTTCTATGTTTCACTCCGATTTTTAAGGTATTACTCATTCCATATAGTAAGCAAGGAATTGACTCTTGTCCCCACTACACCTTTTTCTTCTGCTGTATTCTTAAAAACTTAAATCTACTTAATTTCATCAACGCTTCTCCTCTTTTGCTTCATTCATATATTTCCCATTTCTTGATTTTTATCCAAAGTCCAGAAGTTTTTCCATATTGGGTCTTGAAAGTTCAGATTTTTTCCCCATATTGGGTTATTGTTCTTTTTCATTTTGGGTCTTGAATCTTTTAGCCAATCTGGGTAGGAATTTCCCATTTCTTGGTTTTGCTCCAAAGTTCAAATCTTTGCCATATTGGGTCTTGAAAAGTTCAATTTTTTTCATTTGGGTGTCACCAGTGGTAGCGGTGACAGCCCTTTTTGGTTTTCGGGTCGTGGTATTTTCTGTGTTTTAAGGGAAATTCTCGAAGTTGTGGAGACAAGTTGGAAGCACGAGCACTAGCAAAGGAGAGCAACCAGGACGAGCGTCCGCAACGGGCGGTGGGAAGCGGTGCGTGAGTGTACAACTACATCAAGTACAACAAATCAATACAGGTTTGGTTCTCGGGAGTTGGTACCTCCTTTTCTACTGTTTCCCTTTTGGTGTTAGCTAAATTGATGTTACTTTGGTTCGCAATAGTTCAATCATTCTACTATTGTACTTGTAGTCACTTGTTTCCTTCTACTTTGATTCGTTGTGCACTAGTGAGTCTTCTTGAGATTTGTCGTAGGTGTAGTGGCTGCAATCTAGGATGATAGATTAAGGGCATGCCCTCGGGTGGGACAGAGTGTGGGGCCGAGGTCAGGGTGTGGTACGGGAGGTAGGGGAGGTAGGGGTGGCAAGGGAGCCTATAGGTTGAAAATCGGGTCATGGAACATAGGTTCGCTTACGAGTAAGTCTATAGAGTTGGCGAAGATACTTCAGAAGAGGAAGATTAATATAGCGTGTGTCCAGGAGACTAGGTGGGTTGGATCGAGGGCGAAAAACGTGGATGGGTATAAGTTATGGTACTCTGGAGTCCTGAGGGGTAAGAATGGAGTGGGTATCCTGGTAGATAACCATCTTAGAGAGTCGGTGGTAGAGGTCAGGCGGATGAATGATAGACTAATGACTATTAAATTGGTGGTGGGTAAGTGCACTTTAAATGTCGTTAGCGCGTACGCACCGCAAGTAGGCCTGGATGAGGAGATTAAAAGGAGTTTTTGGGAGGGGTTGGATGACATCGTTCGTAGTATTCCGCCTTCGGAGAGATTATTCGTAGGAGGAGATTTCAATGGTCATATTGGGTCGTCGGCAGTTGGTTATACTGAGGTGCATGGCGACTATGGTGTCGAGGAGCAGAACGGAGGGGCACTTCGCTGTTGGACTTTGCCAGAGGCATTCGATCTAGTGATTGCGAACTCAAGTTTTCCGAAGTGGGATGAGTATTTGGTTACTTATAGAAGTTCGGCGGCGAAGACTCAGATTGACTATCTCCTCCTCAGGAGATGCGACAGAAGGTTGTGTGAGGATTGCAAAGTTATCCTAGGTGAGACCCTAGCAACGCAACACAGGCTTTTGGTGATGGACATTGGTATTAGGATAAAGAGGAAGAAGAGGTCAGTACGAGGCCGTACTAGGATTAGGTGGGGCGCCTTGACTAAGGATAAAGCTCAGGAGTTGGAAGAAAGGTTATCAGCAATGGCGGCTTGGAGAAGTAGTGGGGACGCAAATACTATATGATCGACGACGGCTGATTGTATAAGGAAGGCGGCGAGAGAGGTGTCAGGGATATCTTCGGGCCGCACCGGTGGCCACAAAGGAGACTGGTGGTGGAATGTAGTTGTCCAAGATAAAGTGGAAGCGAAGAAGGCGGCTTACCTGCGGTTCGTAGGGAGCTCTGGAGAGGAGGAGAGGAGAGCGAACAGTGAGAGATATAAGGTAGCTAGGAGGGAGGCGAAGATGGCAGTAATGGAGGCTAAGACGGCAGCTTATGCTCGTCTGTATGAGGAACTAGGGAACAAAGAAGGGGAGAAGAAGTTATTCCGACTAGCTAAGGTGAGAGAGAGGTCGGCTCAGGATCTGGACCAAGTGAGGTGCATAAAAGATGATGATGGCAAAGTTTTGATGGGGGATGACCAGATTAAGAGGAGATGGCAGACCTACTTTCATAAACTTCTAAATGAAGAAGGGGATCAAGATATTGTGCTAGGTGAATTGAGGAGTGCCAACAACCCACATGAACTAAGTTATGGTGGGGACATTGAGGTAGATGAGGTCATGGAGGCAATTCGTAAGATGAGGAGGGGCAGAGCTACTGGGCCAGACGAAATTCCGGTTGAACTTTGGAGGTGTATGGGTAGAGCAGGCTTGGAATGGCTTACTGGGTTGTTTAATATTATATTCAAGACTAATAAGATGCCTGAAGAGTGGAGGTGGAGTACAATGGTTCCGCTGTATAAGAACAAAGGTGATGTTCAGAGCTGTAACAACTATAGGGGTATCAAATTACTGAGTCACACCATGAAAGTCTGGGAGA